TAAGTGAATGTATTTTGTGTTGTACTGTTCTTGTGTGTGTTTATTGTTTCAATTTGTCTCGTTGTCGTTACTGTCTTTATGTGTACTTGTTGTTATAATTCTTCTGTCTGTTGCTGTTGTTTTGCTAGTGTAATTTATTATTACTATTCTATTTATTGTAAAATATACGTAATATTACAACAACAATGTTATATATTTTTGCTATTGTATTATAAACTATTTTTTGACGTTATTTTCATTATCTAACACAATAGCAATATAAAAATGAAAGTATTATTATTAAATTTAAAGATATTGGTTGAAAATCAAAACAGATTGATAATTAGAAAGCATTAGGAATGAACGATTTGGACAAATCTTTAATCCTCTTTAATGAAGGTAGATGATGAATTAGATCAAATTATCCTCTAGTTAATATATATAAATATAGAAAACAGTAATTATGATTAAATTCACGTAAATACAATTTTTATAACATAATTTACTGTAAAGCTCCATAAAATAGGGGAGAAAAGTAATGAAAACTTTTTGGTTATTGCACTTCAACCAGACATTTATTGAGAAAAATATAAAGAAAACGGTTAAAAACAATTTAAAGGAGTAAAAAACACACAAAAAATTATATTTTTGAAAAATACGAAGTTGAATTTTCCAATATCGAAAAAAGCATCGAGCCATTCTCTGAGAATCGGTTTGTGGATCAGTTTGTCTCCCAATCGTCTGATAAATTGGATAACAGTTGATTGCCAATCGAAAAAGGAAGCCAATTATTGTTACACAAAGCCGTCCCTTCTGTTGATCTTTGTACAGCTTTTAAACATACAACCCCCTTTATCAAAATTTATTTGTCCTACGTTTAACCCGAGTGTCGCCTATGACGTTTCTGTTTGTATTTTACGAACAGACGTTCGGACGTTTCGCATATTTTGCATTTTTTAATTTAAGTTTTTTTCAAGTTTTTACGTGGTTGTAAAAATTTGATACGAAGTTTTTACATTATCAGGTATTGTCTTCGCTGTTTTTCTACAAGAACGTCACACAAAAAAGAATTTTGGAGTTAATTTTTTGAAGTTTTGTATAGTCGACCTCCCTATAACACTGTTGATAATTCCGTTTTATATGAATTCCATGTTGTACGAGTCACTTAGATTTTACAAATACGTGAGCCGTTTACAGCCTGGCACACGTATTTGTAAAATCTAAGTGACTCGTACAACATGGAATTCATATAAAACGGAATTATGAACAGTGTTAGAGGGGGGTCGACTGTATACGTATTTTATTTGATTTTATAAATAGATAAATAATTAATTTCGTGAAAATATAAAATATTTCACAGTTTTTTCGTGAAATAAATTAAAATTTCATTTAAAATTTTGAAATATTTAGTTAGAGCTATGCGAAAGGATACACTTTACACATTGTTACCTTTAGTGAAAAATAAGGCATGAATTTCATGAAATTTATGTAAACTTTATGAAATAATGTATAAATTTCCTAAATTTACACGAATATAAGGTAAATACATTTATATATTTTTTATTTCACTATGAGAAACAGTCCACTTTACAAATGTATTTTAGTAAAAAATAATGCATGAATTTTATGAAATATATGTGAATTTTATGAAATAACATTTAAATTTCGCAAATTTACAGATATATAATATAAATACACGTATATCTTTTTTATTTCATAAAGTTTCCACGTAGATAAACAATTTTCCAACCCCGCAATTGGTAAAGACGAAGGAGAAATTGGATGAGGAGTAAAGTAATTTATTTCGAAGGAAAAAAAAAAAAAAAACTTAATCACTGAAAATCAAAAATATTTTATATTTTTATAACAAAAATACGGATATTAAAATTGAATTTTAGATGAGAAAAAAAAAATACATATTTCCTCTTATTGTGCAGGTCTGAATATGGCGAAGATGGTGATTTTCCTCTTTGACGGCAAAGAATGCTACCAGGTCACGTGACAGGCCACAAAATCAGATTCAGTAACAACTACAATGTGATGGAAATATACTCCAAGCTTTTGTATATCCTTTTGCTGATGCAACTTATTACTCGGCTGGCATTCGCTGGACCGTGCCGATTATCCGAATTTACCTGTGAAAATGGTAAATGTATAGGATTGGGTAGATATTGTGACAGTACCGACGATTGTGGTGACGGAAGTGACGAAAACGTTGGTTGCACGCGTAAGTATATATAACTTATTATTGATCTTTTTTACCTATCAGCATTTATATTACAACCCCCTTGTAATAATAGAAACTAATAAAGATGATATTTTGCTTGTTACTAAAGCAATATCGATTGATATCTTATTGATAAACTCATATATATTTTTTTTTTTCAATAATTTTCTTTCTTTAAACAGATCTTACGTATTTTATGTTGCTGTATTTGATATTTTATATAATTTGCGCTATTGTTTATAATGTTTTATATATTTTTGTTATTATTCGTGATATTTTACATGTTTTGTATCCACGTTTATGATATTTTGCATATTGTTTATGATATTTTACATTGTTTTTGTGCTCCTGTTCACGAAATTTTACATATTTTTCGCTCCAATTTGTCAAGTTTTATCCATTTATGTTCTTGTTATCTATGTAATCTATAACGTAATTTAATCTGATATGTATGCTACCATAATAGAGAAGATTGGGAAAACTTATTTTATTGCTGTCTACTTATATCAGGACTCTTTATATAGTAACAGAAACAAAATAAAGATGACACTTTCCTTATTATTAAAGCAGTATCGATCGATATAATATCGATATCTTAATTTTAATTACCTGTTATCCTAAATGAAACTTTACATATTTTACAAGCTGTATACTTGTTATCGATGCGTTAATCTGTTAAGGAATTTAATTTTATGTCGTTGTTACTATAGTAGAAAATGTTCGGAAGGGTTATTTATTTTACTGCTGCGGTATCTTTGCATATTAATTATCACGTATTAGCTGCTTATCTTTTATTGTTTTCCTGGTAATTGCGTTATTTCTAAATGGTTATCTTTAACTGAGCGTATTATTACTGCAGTAGCATCAATATTGTTACGTTTCTCACATAATTAAGACGCTTCCGAGTGTGTAGATGCTATAAAAAGCTTCACTTATGATGTAACACGTAACATCTTTACTTCATTACATCCTCATCTTATGATGTAACGGCGTAACGTTCTTATTTTATTGCACCCTATGATGTTTAGCAGCGTAACATCGTTACTATATTATACTTTTACCTAAAACTGTAACAGCGAAACAACTTGATTTTTTTTGTAGTAACCTCTATTATACATTCATAAATATAACCTTTTATTCTACTTTATTAATAAACTAAACATTATTATATAAAAAATACCTTCAATTATAACGTTAGTTATAGAGGCAATAACGTTACTTACAGCTTACTAAACTACTATAATAAATTATATTATTATAGTAGCATAATGCTTTATAATATACTGTAACTGTTTCTATAAATCTGTGTAAGTTGTTTACGTATTATTGCTCTATATATAATTACTTAGTTATAAGGTTATATGAAGCTATATAACTCTTATGAAAGCATAATACTACAGTAGTAGTTATATAAATTAAATATAAACAGAATTTTGCACGAATTATTACTGAATTTTAATATACAAGTAATTCTTATTGGTATTTAGTACTTTTATACATTATAAAGCATTATGTTACTACTATATTACGCTAAATATGCAACTGCAGTATTAATTTGTTATATATTATTGTTAAATATTATTAATCTGTGTTCCTGATCATGACATTTTATATATTTTGTGCTCCTGTATATAAATTCTTATATATTTGGTGCTCCTGTTCATGATACTTAACACATTTACAGCCCTCTATATAGTTTTTTTTATAGCTTCTCTACTTTAAAAAAGTATATTGTACTGTAAATATTTGTTTCAAGAATATGAAAATATCACTATAGAAAACATATAATATATTTATATTGATATTATTTATCGCAAAACTCTCTATTCTATCAGCATAAGATCGAGTAACATCGTTACCATAGTAACATAAATATTATATAAATATATTTGTATACATACTCGATCTCTAAACAATACTTTATTATATATAGCTACAATACGTTACTATAGAAACTAAGTGCATCACTCACATACAGCATCCGAATTAAGAGAAAAAATAATTGGGGGGGGGTAACTGTGACGTATGGAGACAAACCCTTGACGTGTTATAGAGATCCTGAAAAATATTTTAATTAATACTGGAGTCAGTAACTTCAAAAAATAAATAAATATAAATAAAAAAGAGAGAAGAGTTGTCAAATAAAACTAGGAATAAATATGTGGAGATGAGAAGAAGATAACTTGGAAGCTGGAGACAAGAAAATGTTGACATACTTGTCCAAAGATGTGACAACTTTATTTGACAGGAAGTAGAATATTACGCGCAAGCGCGTTAAAATTGTTTTGGCGTCGATCACTAGAAAAAAAAAAAATTCGTCCCCCTTTACTGAAAGATGATCCGGTAATGGAACTGTAGCTGATAATACTTTAAAAATATAACTGATACAGTAACATACGTATACAATTTGCTTGAAAGATAAGAAAATGTTACTATAGTAGTCGATAGAAGGGGTGTAACACGTATATATCGATAGAGTCTGTTTAAAAATAAACTGGAAAATATCCTATTGTATTCGATACAAGTTGATACAGTCTCTATTCTATCAACGTAACTAGTAAAGTAACAAGTATATCGTTACCGCAGTCGATAGAAGAGGTGTAATAGTTGCTACTGTAACAGCGTAACTAGTAAAGTAACTAGAAGAATATGTTGCTATAACAGTATACTATAACTAGAAGAGGTGTAACACGTGTAATATCGATAGTCTGTTAAAAAAACAGTAAATTATCCTGTTATAGTCGATAGAAGAAGATGATACAAGTGCCACACTATCAGCGTAACTGGTAACAATAAAACGATGAAACTTCCAGTTTAGACAGGTTTCCGTTTTATTAAGGTTCCTTTTAGGACAGGTTTTACTGTATTTTACTATAGGGCCTAACATATTATTGTAACAGTTTCTATTCTAACAGCATAACAGATACAGCAATAAGCTGGATTGTTTCCTTTGTTTTCATGATTATTGTTGTGCCATACTTGTCTCATGTAATGTGATATTTGTTGTAATAATGTTTGTTACTATAGCAACATAGATTTTATTAAAGTAATGACGATGTGAGCGTGTTTAATCATCAATATTAGTTATTATGTTGGCAATATAAATGCGTGTTGGAAGGTTACAATAATCTATATTTATTGTCATGGTTATGTGCAAATATATATCCTTGTTTAAGAGGATAAGGGGGAGATACTTGACAAAATAGCCTATCGGTGACTTGCGTAACACGTAATTTGCTATTAAAGGTCTCAGATGATGTTACGAATTTAATGTTTGACTTGTTATATAACCAGTGTATATGCCTCTAGGCTTTTATAAATGAGAGACTGAATAATGTCGAGTAACATACATAAAATATATATCTGTTACGCTTCGATTATAATGTTACTATTTTAGGAATAATTTATCATTGTTAATGTAACACAATAAATTGCAATTATGGTAAATTATTACAATCAATGTATGGAAATCAAAGGAAAGAATGTTATAATCATCGTAAATATGAGCATTAATTATACAGCATAGTATCAAATCAATGCTTGAATAGTAACATTAAAAAGACATGGTTGAGAAAAGTCCTGCGAGCATTCATTTGGCAGCATATTATTAAATCAATGCTCTTCTTACTACATGACTTCATGTTAATGCTCATTTTACTGTATTGCTGTGAAAGTATTTTGTATACTTTAACAAATAATAATTATTGTGACATTGTCACAATACCGGGCTGTAATTTTTTATTGTACTATTAATTTAATTTAAAATATACGCTCTCGATTTTACTGGTGTCTTACCCCTGTACATCATACTTTTCCTGATAACGACGAAGTAATGCTGGTCATCTATTTAACACTGTTGTGTTAAATTGAAATCACTGTAATTTACCGGAATTTCGTATATAGTTAATCAGGCCTTCTGCCCCTAATATTTCTATATCTGATCTTGATTTTCATTTATCTAACACCATTCTCGATAGACGATAGTGGAAATTATACTTGCTTACGTATAAAACAGACACCAAGTACAGTACACCTCAAGATGCTTTATTTGATCTGTACAACACGGATTTTTGATGCACTTCGGGACTTTTATCCTCTCCTCAACCAACCATACATACTAGAGAGATGTTGCAAGAGGGAATAAAAAATCTCGAAAGTCTCAGTGAGATACAATAAAAGTGTCACATTGTACCTGTATGTCTGGTATGTTTTATACACCGGCAAGTGTAGTTAAAATATTAAATTGCAGGTGTACTACTTGACGTAACATAACTCTTAAAGTAACAAGCATTTAGAGTTAGTATCGTAGGAATAATGTATCACAGTTACTGTTAAATTCCTAATAAAGTTTGATACCGATCAGCATGTAAACAACTAATGATTTGTGTACATTTTACAGCATCACTGGAACATAAGACTAGAGACAAATAAGAGGTGAAAAAAAACAAGTTTATCCTGTTAATTTAAAACCAAAGCTTAATTTTTTTTTTAAAGATTTTCATCAGAGTTAATTGTGTTTACATTATTAAATTAAAGTACCAACACACAACAAATTATTTTAAATTTTCTTAATATTTCGTCTAATAAAATTATAAATTTATTAAAGTCGTAAAACGATGCATAAACTTAAGGATAATAATTTTTAAAACTCGACTAAAATGTAATAATTTTTAATTAAAGAAAATTAACTCTAGTAAAAGGGCATTTTAATTATGATTTAAGTTAATTAAGAATTTAATTTTAAGAATTTTTCCACTGTAAATTTACTTATTTACACTCAAAATACAAGCAGTTTTTAAGTGTTTGCGCTTCTCGATAACTTGATCTTCAACATCAATTGATTGATTTCTAAGTTTGTTCAGCTTAAAAAATTAATAAATTTTGGATCAAAATCAATAGATATTTGCGATTAACTTTAGTAAAATGATATTTAAATGAAGTAAGAGTTTAATTTTGCGAATTTTTCCACTGTATATTTACTTATTTACACTCAAAATACA